TTATATACCATCGCAGATTTAGATATATCACGACATCCTGTTGCTTTCTGTAATTACCTTTTTAATTTTCTCTCCAGGAGTGAAATTTTACTGCAGTCACTGTGGCGGAGAAGGGCATAGAAAGCACTATTGCTCAAAACTAAGAGAGACTTTAGGTGAGCTGCGGTTGAAATGTAGTTCCTGTGGAGAAAGAGGTCATAATCAACGAACTTGCGGAAAGTTAAGTTCAGATGAGGAAGCCAAGAGAAGAAAGCCGAGTAGTGAGTCCCGGCATTGTAGATTTTGTGGTCAAGTTGGTCATAATCGTAGGACTTGTCCTGAAATTTCCAAGGTAAGCAACCTTGTTTCTCAGAGAGACATTTTGGTTTCGAAAAGCAAGAAATACTCATGTAGTTTGTGCTTGGTAAAGGGGCACAACGTTCGTACTTGTCCTAATAAAAATGGAAATCAATAATAGATCAATGGTTGTGATTCCGGTATCGGTTAAGAGAAGGTTTATCAATGGTTGGCTAGTTTCCTTCAGTTCCATTGCAGTGATTTGAATAGGATTTAGTGAGCTTCTGTCTATATAGTGTTGAAATTATATCTACCACATTATAAGGGTAAATCAAAACAATACACTCCATGTATAACAGCAAGCTTTGTCAAGAACGTCTATCTGGCAAAATTGCTGTTAACCCCTAAATATAGCTGATATTTACTGTTAGAGTATAAAACGATAGTCCTCAATCCTCACCACAATTTTAGAGTTTTGGTGTAACGGTTGTGTCATTTAACATGGAATCAGAGCACTTGGTTTCGGATTTATTTTAGAAATTGATATCGCTGTGTAAGTCTAGGTTTCTGCACATAAAAGAGCATTCAACCTGCAAGGGTGAGGTTAGTGTTAGTCAAGAATAGGAGGAAGAGATTTTGGCTCTTCCTGTGCCTTTGTTGACAAAGGCATAAAGACTCTTTTGATAATCAAAAATGTGAGGAAGAAAAAATTGATGATTCCGACAGGTGCAAACTTTTTTCTTTGAGGTCGGGCATGATTGGTGGCGAAATTAGTGGGAATGAAGCCTATAAAATCCGCTGCAGCTCTCCTCTCTAAATTCATCCTGAATCAGTTTCTTAGAGTAGCTCTAAGAGAGATTATTGTGAGTGATTAAGAGAGTGATAAGGATTTGGTATTTGGGTAATTTTGTGTGAGAGATTGAGAGTAGAGGAAAAATCAAGAGTGATTTGTTTGTGAGATTATTGAGTGATTGTAATCTCTATTTGTACTCTCCCTCTCTATTAGTGAGATCTATCCCCTCCTTGCCCCGTGGACGTAGGCATATTGCCGAACCACGTAGATTTGGTGTCTTGCCTGCTGTGGTACTTGTTTTGATCTGGTTTGTGTTTTTTCGGTTCCGCTACGCACAACAAGTGGTATCAGAGCTCCGGGTTGGCTTGGGGTTCGATTTGGAGGATTGAAGGAGAAAGCTAGGGTTTTTACAAGGGATTTCATCTTCCAAGGAGTGGTGGAGAAATCAATTGGAGGATTCGGTTCGGATTCTCGTTTGGAGGTACAAACCCTAATTTTGCTCTTTTTCAATTCAAGTTGTAGTTGTGTAATTTGGAGATTAGATTGAAAATGACCGAAGCAAGTACATCGGGATCGTCCTTAACTAAGGCGATACAAGGGTTGAGCATTAATAATACAAAAATTGATGTTCAAAAATTTAATGGCAAGATAAATTTTGGATTGTGGAGGTGTCAAGTGATGGATGCATTCGATGCCCAAAATTTGGAGGAGACTCTTGAATTACAAGAGAAACCCGTTGATATGGAGGAAAAGGTTTGGAAGAAAATAAATAGTAGAGCATGTGGAGTTATTAGATCATGTTTGACGCTGGATTTGATTTATGATGTAATGAATGAAACATCGGCGAAATGGTTGTGGGAAACACTCAATGAGAAGTATTTGACGAAGAGCATTGAGAATAGGCTTCATTTAAAGAAGAGGTTTTACCAATTCAAAATGAAGAGAGGAGTTTCCATTAGAGATTGAGAATAGGCTTCATTTAAAGAAGAGGTTTTACCAATTCAAAATGAAGAGAGGAGTTTCCATTAGAGAACATGTTAATAATTTCACAAAATTGCTATCGGATATGGCCAATGTGGATATCATGGTAGAGGATGAAGACAAGGCGATGTTGTTATTATGTTCATTGCCAGAGGATGATTATGGTACATTTGTCCTTACAATGATTAATGGTAGAACCACTGTCAGTTATAAGGAGGTGACCTCAGCGTTGGTGAATTATGAGTTGAGGAAGAGTGATAGTGAACCCTCCGAGAAGGCATCGGGAGATGCATTGGCAGTGAGAGGCCGTAGTCCAAACCACCGTTCATTTAATCACTCAAAATCGAAGCCAAGAGGAGCACATCCTGCAGTTGGTAGGAATCAGTGTGCTTTTTGTAGAGAGGATGGACATTGGAAGTCTGATTGTCCAAAGTTGACAGATCGAGCCGGGAAGAATAAGGGAAAAGCTACTCAAGCTTCAGAGGTGAATGTTGCCAAAGCTAGTGGCGACAATTCAGATTCGGATTCTTCGGGCTATTCGTGCTCTGCACTTCCGTCAGTTTGTATTGCCGACTCCACCGAGTGGATGTTAGATTCGGGTGCTTCATACCACATTTGCCCTAGGAGGGATTGGTTCTCCAGCTTTCAGGAGTTGGAAAGAGGGGATGTTGTACTTATGGGTAATGATCACAAATGCCCTATTAGTGGTATTGGTACTGTTCGTATTCAGATGAGTGACGGGGTGATTCGGGAGTTGGTTGAAGTGAGGTTCGTTCCTCAGTTGAAAAAGAACATCATTTCACTTGGGGTTTTGGAGGCATCAGGCTATAGGGTGGCCTTAGCGGATTCTCGCTTGAAGGTCACATCGGGATCCATTATTATGATGAAGGGCGTCAGAAGAAGTAATTTGTACTATTTGCTTGGGAGCACGGTGATTGATAGAGCGTTGACGACTTCATTGGATTTGACTAGATTATGGCGTTGTTTGTTGTTGGGGTATATTATTGGTTGTGCCGTGCACAGATTGTTGAGGAGTGCTTTGACCTGCAGATGGAAGTCCTTTGAGCACATTGGGATGAGCGAGAAGACCGAGATGGAGTGTGGTACTTCTATCCATCGATCGAGGGGTCTTATTGGAGGTGTTCAGTCAGGCATTGGGGAGCCTTCCATGGAGGCATCATTGGGAGGTAATCGGTATTTTGTTTCCTATGTTGGGAATTGTACTAGGCATATATGGGTTGCAACCAAGTCCCGTTGGTATAAAGCCCTAGTAGTCCGCAACAGTTGGAGGAGGTGTATGGGCAGAAAGGTTATCAGTCGTACTTGTTCTAGTAGGAGTCCTTTCTTGCATTGGTGCCGAGCTCATGGCAGCTGGAGACACTTCTTAGGGGAGGAGACAGTGGGGCGACGTGATGAGATGGCGGATTTAGTGAGCCGTTCTTTTCTGGAGAGGATCGGCATTGGTTGTCGAGCAGTGGATCTGGTATTCAGGCTTCAACAGGTTTGGGTCATCTTATGAGGTTGCCGACTGCTGCGTATAGAGTTGTTAGATCTGGTGGAGCTGCTTCAGGTTTTGGTCGGCGTCGGATATTAGGCTACCCAGCAGTTGGTCACATCGTGGATGTGAGATTGGATCCGATTGCGTATTTAGGATTCAGAGGCTCGTTCGGCTATCAGTGGGGAGCTTCTGAGTTTGGTCTGAGCAGGTTTGTCACTTTGGACTCTCGGCAGGTGGAGAGTATTGATCAGATCAGAGGGATATCGCAGCGAGTGGAGGTTGATGCTACTTCACATCGGGTGGAGCTTATTCCACATACTCCAGGTTATTCTGCATTGGTTGGGATTCCAGCTGAGGTGGCACAGCGTAGGAGTCATTTGTCTATGGGTGCAGATGATGAGGTGATTGTTTTGGATGCAGCTGGTGGATATGTTTTAGATACGGCCATTGTTTCACCTCAGGTGGAGGTGTTTGGATCGCTTCAGTTTGGGGTCGTTGATGATGCTATCAGCCGCATTTTGGATTGAGGGCCTTTGGAGGCCATTTGGTGAACTACGTGAAGGCTTGATTCCTTGGAAGAGGATACGTAGGCAGTCAATTTTGATGCAGCCGTTTTGGTGAGCGACATCGACATTTGGGGTGAGTGTTTGCACTCCCATTTGGGTCTTAGCAAATGAGGCATTTGGTGTAGTCGGTGTAGGCTCAGTTAATTGGTGAGTAGACACTGTTGTTTTGGGGTTGAGTGTTCGCACTCCCGTTTGGGTCTCGACATGTTGTGATTGGGGTCCGTTGTCATGAGTCCGTTGCCATGGTGTACTGGATGCAGCAGTTGAGGCATTGGTTTAGTTGGTGTCGGCTCAGTTTTGGAAAAACTTCACCGAGGTGGAGATTGTTAGTCAAGAATAGGAGGAAGAGATTTTGGCTCTTCCTGTGCCTTTGTTGACAAAGGCATAAAGACTCTTTTGATAATCAAAAATGTGAGGAAGAAAAAATTGATGATTCCGACAGGTGCAAACTTTTTTCTTTGAGGTCGGGCATGATTGGTGGCGAAATTAGTGGGAATGAAGCCTATAAAATCCGCTGCAGCTCTCCTCTCTAAATTCATCCTGAATCAGTTTCTTAGAGTAGCTCTAAGAGAGATTATTGTGAGTGATTAAGAGAGTGATAAGGATTTGGTATTTGGGTAATTTTGTGTGAGAGATTGAGAGTAGAGGAAAAATCAAGAGTGATTTGTTTGTGAGATTATTGAGTGATTGTAATCTCTATTTGTACTCTCCCTCTCTATTAGTGAGATCTATCCCCTCCTTGCCCCGTGGACGTAGGCATATTGCCGAACCACGTAGATTTGGTGTCTTGCCTGCTGTGGTACTTGTTTTGATCTGGTTTGTGTTTTTTCGGTTCCGCTACGCACAACAGTTAGAATGTAAAACTATAACCCTCAAACCTCACCATAACTTCAGAGTTTTGGTGTAATTGTTGTGGGTCATTTAACGCAGATTAGATGATTATTTTCAGTCACGCCCTCTTCTGACGTTGATTGAGGAAACGGAAGTGAGGTCTGCTCAGTAGCTTTAAACAAAACACCGGATGAACGATTTTGTACAAACGAATCATCTTTTTTTCCATTGTACGTGCGAGATTAACATATGTATCCGTTTTTCGTTGTATAATCAGAGTAGATTGTGCTTTTGATCTTGCTGTTCAAGAAGAGCTTTGAGATTTCTGTGGAACTTTAATTGGTTTCATTTGATTGAGAAGTTGCGCTGCATTGTTAGATTTCATTGAGCGTAGGTTGGTTTCTTCATCGACTCTCAAGCCACCAGACTTGAATCCGTGCAGATAGTCAGGAGAAAAGGGGAAGACCAAGGAGTACTTTATTAAACATTGTTGCTCGATTTATCTCTGCAGACTTTTATTTTCTATGTTATTATACATTTTAAAAATTCTGAAAATGTCCTTGCATTTGAA